CCTCTCCCACCCCCCGCGGCCCAGCCTCACGTCCAGGCAAAGTTGAGGGCCAGCTGGACGCCGTAGAGCGTCAGGGGCAGCGCCTTGCCCGCCCCTGCGGGCCAGGCACCAAGGGAGGCGTAGGCAGGTGTTAGGGGGGCGGATGGCGGGCGATAGGCAGACCCAGTGGCTTTGACCCCCGTTTCTCCGTGCTGTTTCGAACAGCTTCAGTGCTGCCAGTTGATGCGGCAACTTTTGTAAAATGTCCTCCCAAGCGTTCCCTGTGAACGTGCCAGCCTGCCCTGCTCTTGCTGCTGCTGAACTGCCTGGAGCCCTCGTGCACTTGGCAGCGACGCGGGCCTCATGCTGCTGCGCACCAGTGCGGTTGGTCACAAACGCCGCGATGCCTGCACACAGTCAAGATGATTGGGCGGTGTGGGTGCGTTGGCAGGGGCTGCAGGCGCTGCACAATTTGTGCGTGCATTCACACGCCTGCGGATGTTTCTTTCCGAGCATGTGTTGTCTGCACGCGGGCAAATGTGCAAGGGTGCGAACACCTCCGCATGCGTGTGTGCGCCTGCAATGTGCCGATTAATGAATGCCGTTGCCCTCAGCGCTGCCGCATTGACATCGTCCCGCCTGGCTTGACACCAACACGGCTTGTTCGACTGCAGCTGCGCTGGCTGCAGATGCACATATCCCGAGTGCATCTGCAGATCCGACGAAACCAGCAGGTCCCACCACCCTGCCTGCACTCACGACCCTCACGGTGCGACAAATGCAAATTTCATACCAGGGCGCCTCCCGGCATTGGCCACGACCCGCCCTTGATCCCACTGCCGCAGCCCCGTCTCACCCATGGCCGTATAGAACCAGGTCCACGCGATGGGGAAAACCGCGTTCTGGGCGCGACAATCGGGGAGGGGAGCGCGCAGTCCAGTGAGTCTAGGCCGGCACCGCCGCGACGTCTGCGCCGATTGCAGCGGCGAACGAGGGCGTAATGCGCGGAGGTGATCGCGGGTGAGCAATCGTGGTCCTCACCGGCGGCGTCCAGGAGGGCTTCTGCAGCTTGGAATACCTGAGGCCGAGGCGGAGAGTCGGCACATGTCATGACAAGTATGCAGGCACACGTCCACCTGACGAGTTGCGCGACACACCTGCATCCCAAGGCAGCAAGGCCACGAGGTGCCCTTGCTGCAGCTGTGTTCCAGCCAGCCAAGGGCCGCACCAGTTAGGGACCTCGTCCTTTGTCAACAGCCCAATGGCAAAGCCGCCGCCAAGCGGCACGGCGAGGTTGACGACCTGCGCCGGTGGACGCGCTGCAGTGACATCCGGGGCGCACCGCCCCGCGCAGCATGGCACGCAGGTGTCCAGGCTGCGGCTTACGGCGTGAGGGTCACCATTGAAGCCTTTGTCTCACCAAAGAAATCGCGGCCCCCATGGTGACGCCTCGGTGCGTGAGCCTGCCAGTTGGTGGGGTTACTCGTCCCGATCTCGCGTCTGGGAACTTGATGATGCGCTTCTATTTTGCGCAATTCGAGATCCGATCGATTACTCGCGCTGTCCGCCAGCTGGGCAGTGCTGCAGGCGGCACCGTGCTGACTTGATCTCGATGCGATGGACGGAATCGGCCAACGGTCCCGGGCGGTCTCATTGGGTAGCAAGCGCGAGCCCGATTCGATAACGATTTCAACAGGATGATGCCAGGCAATGTCCAGGAAAGCGGATGCTCAGCACTCCTAATGGGGTGGTGTGTGCTGCGATGGCCATGGCGGCGTTGCTCAGTTGCTCAGTAGCAGCAACGGCAGTGATCAAAGCCGGTCGATTCCTCGAATGCGGGCAAACCACCGGCAATGGGTTGTGCTAAAGCTATTGCGAGAAAAGTAAACAATGCGTTCTTCAACAGCCGGGCACCGCGGCGTCGCTCTCGTCCAGCCGCGGCTTCTTGCGTGCTGCTGTGCTGCCGCCGCCAGCGCCGTCGTGCGCGCCCCCGCCGCCGCCCGCCGCGCCCTCCTCCGGCACAACCGCGAACCGGTCCGCCGGCGTCACCAGCGGCGCGTGCGCGGCCGCGGCGGGGTCGCCGCTGCCGGCCGAGCCCGCGGGCGCCGCGGCC